GCTAAGTGCCAGTTTAGCAAGACACAAAATTCTAATTTGAAAATCATTTCCTTCAAATCTTGGGGACAATTTTCCATGGTCCTCTAATATCCAAGGTGTTTAATGAAAAGTTAAAATGCTTTCTTGATTCATCTTCTTTGCAGAGCTTGTTTTCTTCCTCTCTAATCTTTGAGGATATGCTCCAGATATTCAGTGCTCTAAAATTTCACAATAATGCATGTGGATGTGCTTCTTTTTCTCATTCATTGTGCTAACATCAAATAGGCTCTTTTAATATCCACAACTGTGACACTTCATTTCCTTGAACACCATCTCCATTGGTCCTTTGGCATATTCACAAAGCACTCCCCAAGATCACCTTTGTCTTTACCAGAATCTGTAGTTCCGCTGACCTCAAACATCAATATCTCATTCATTTTCTGACCACCCCCTTTTGTTTTTCTAGTTCACTTGTTTTACAACTCCCACTATGCCTCTTCAACCTTATTAAGACTTGTGATCCAGGGTCGCCTGGGTGGCTCAGTCCATTAAGTATCCGACTCTTGATTTTGGCTCAGATCATGATTTCATGGTCATTAGATCAAGCCCAGCATCAGGCTCTGTGCTGGGCATGAGGCCTGCTTATGATTCTCCCTCTCCTTCTATCCCTCCCCAACTCATGTTCCTGCACGCTCTCTTGCTCTCTCTCACTAAAAAAGACTTGTGATCCATTAAATCCATTAATTTTTCACCCTGTATCAGTTTTCTCTAATCTTTACTTCTATTCTTATCAGTTTAGATGTTGTAGCTATCATTACAATCATTCTCACAAAAATATTTTATTTGCAATAATCTGTTTCAAAATCCCAGCCCTGGCTTTAGTTGCATGGATTCTAATAAACAAATCACTGCCAGAAAAAATTGTCTAAGGATGACTTGGTTTCACTTCAAAACTCCAAATGGGAACTCAACATTGCCTTATCCTTCATGAGTTTGCTTTCTTATTCTCCAAGTCAACAATGTCATACCTTTTCAAATTTATACAACATCAAAGCTCCTTTATCTTCCCACCAACAAATCTACAAAGTCTTTCTGGACCTACCTCCAATTCTTCCAGTCATAGTAAAGTTAAAAAGTCATAGGACTTTTTAATCTCCCCTTTAATCTCCCCAAGCTGTGCAGCCCACATCCTTTTTCCTTCTACGGGACTTTATTGCTTTGTGAGTCCCCTTCTTTTTCCTGATCATCAGCCTCTCCCACTGAACTCAATCATTTCAATTATTATTGAACCATGTTCTAACTGTGCTCACTTTAAAACAAAACAAAACCCACAACTCTCTCCCATACTTCACTTCTGAATTACTGAGTTTGGTTGTCCATTCTTAGTGAAAATATTAGATACTAAAAACTTGCATCACTAGATATGCTCAAATTCACTGATTTGGGCTGAGACAGAATTATATTTAATAAACTGAGTTCATTATTATTTTTAAAGTTCTGTGAAATCTGTTACTCATAAATTATAAGTACATAATATTATAGTTATAAAAGTAAGCTATAAAGACATTATTGAAGAGATTGTCCTTGTGGATTCATGAAAGAAATTCCATTCTGAACCCAACATCAGTAATGGCTGTGTGTCTCCTAAACAACATACTTAATTTTATCCTTTGAAAATTCTGAAAATTGGAACTAAAATGTTTTATTATCATTTGGAGTCTGCTAGGCACCTTATCAATTGTACAGTATATGTTTCTGAGTGTTAATCTTATTCTTATCTTTATTAATTTCCTGCTTTTACTCTCTCTCTGTTTCCTTCAACTACTTATTTTCTCCTTTCACATTTTAGAAATTTTGTAAACTATTTTTAAGCCTTTAAGAAACAAGTATAGTAAGGTAAGATACAAATAGCTATAATAAAGATCAAAATAGAAACAGGGATAAGGAACACCAAGAAAATTACAGACAGAAAGGAACAGGAGGAAGGAAAGAGAGAGAGGTGACAGTATTTGTTGTGTGAGGTAATAAGTCACTGAAAATGGAGCTTAAAAATGTGATGGGGTGCCTGGGTGGTTCAGTCAGTTAAGCATCTGACTTCGGCTCAGGTCATGATCTCACGGTTGGTGGGTTCGAGCTCCGTGTTGGGCTCTGTGCTGACAGCTAGCTCAGAGCCTGGAGCCTGTTTCGTGTTCTGTGTCTGCCTCTCTCTCTGACCCTCCCATGCTCACACTGTCTCTCTCTCTCTCTCAGAAATAAATGAAAAACATTAAAAAAAATTGTTTAATTTTAAAAAGTGGCATAGCAGGGATATACACATATTTAGGCAACACCATATTTCTTCTGAAATCCCATTGTACTGAATCAGTTGAAATAATTGACTTTCATATATGAATGTTTATAATTCTGATTATAAAAACAATTGATCTCATAAAATTTGATCTGTTTTGTTACTTTTAACAACTTTACAGAGGTATAACTGATAATACAAAAAACTGCACATATTTAATGTACACAATTTGACGAACTGCACATATTTAATGTATACAATTTGATGAACTTGATAGTCATAAAACTATCACTCTAATCAAGGTAACAGATATAGCCATCATTTGTCTTATTATTTTCAATTTGGGACTCTGGAATTATTTATAGAAATTTTGCTAGTATAAGTATTGTTCCTAAGTATTTTTTATTTTCAATGCTTTCTTTTTAAAGGATTCACATGATAAACTCTAATTACATTGAAGGACTACTCTACTTTCTGAAAATAAAAACCTATTCAGTTCCCTCCAGAGAATATGATTTGATAACTGAGACAATGAGCTGCATTCGCTTTTCTCTTGTCTGCTTTGGCTGATCCATAACTAATCAGGAAAATGAACTAAAATTACCATCAGCACACTTCAAGGTTTGGCTGATTATCAGGCAGGTTTTAAAAACAGAAGACTATGTGGAGCCCACAGAAAATACTATCCAATATCCAAAGGCAACTTTATATGACATACAAAGCACTGACTGTTTACTAGGAACGAAATACTGGGTTCTTTCCATATGTAAGATTTTTCTGTCAATTCAGATTTTTGGACTAAAAATTATGTGTCTTTCACCAAAAAGAAAGATGCCAAACCCAGACTGGGTGCAAATTATATCATTTCTTTCTTGGAGTAGAACACTCTGATAGAGCAGGAAGGAGCACCAACATCTGCCTCAACCCCAGAAACTACTCTCTTCATACCTACCTCCTTTATCACCACAGGCGTTTCCTAGGTAGAATTCCATGCCACTGAAGCCTAAATACCATCAGGAAACTGTAATAACGACTCCTCACGTTTCAGTTATATAACTCATTTGGTTTCTAAAGGTCCTGCCCTATTCCATTATTTAGTCTGTCTTACCATTGTATGGCTATGTGAAGGCACTACCATATACTTAGATGAATGTGAGTAAATCAGTTATATACCTGGATATTTGGTGAAATTCAGAAATGGTAAGGTAATCATTGGCAATAGCAATGCTCTAAGAGTTACTTTATCTAAAAAAGAGCAAATTAGGAAATAAGTATCCACATTTTCACTAAGAGTTTTTGCCTTGTTTTAGTAATTTCAACTGCAGCTTCATCATACAGCACCATCAATTGAAGTCAAACAGATGTGTACAACTTCCCAAAGAAATGCTGGCAACAGTTTTTTAGTTTAAATAAGGAGAACAGTTTTAACAAAGAGAAATAAACCAAAATAATTCCATCTTCCAACTGAAGATTAAATGTAATCAAAATAAAATGGTGCCAATGCAAAAAAGACTACAGTCATGACCAATCACAAAGCCCATTAAAAGTACAGAATCCCCCATTCTTTTAAGAACTATCTTTGATTTCTATGCCTTACTCTAGAATTTTTATTTGTTTCCAAGTCTATTTCACCAGGCACCACTCTATATATTCCAGAACTGTAACACTGTTAGTTTCTAAAACATGGATGTGTTTATGTTCCTCCTGCTAACACCTTCATTTTTCAAAAGAAATATGTCCTTATTTTACTATATTTTCTGATCATGCAAGAAATAACCAACTAAAACAGCAAATGCACAAAGTAGAAGGTAGAAGCCCATTTCACTAATTGTAGAGATTTTAAAAGTGCACTCAGTAAACTTTTTAACATATAAATACATACATTTATTCTCCCTAACACCTTGGGTGTTCTGAAAATTTGTTAAACACTCCTTCCTTAATATTTTACCTTATTTCCATGAAAATGTATATAACTTAATGACTTTAGTAGCTTTGGTATCACACTATATGAGAAGTTAGTTTTGCATTGAGTAGTTTCAACTATTATTCTCATACGAAGCAACCAAATCAATCAAGAATACATAAATCTGAAATTCAAACTTGACATATAATTACTACTTTTCATTCTACTGAGATTAGTGTCAGCAAAAGCTATTCACACTTTCACCTTCATCTTGCCAATGTCCAAAAGGCAGGCATATGAATACACATACACGCATAAATTAATTCCAGTTTCTAGTAGAAAAACCTAGTTCACCAAATACCTATATCAAAAATATTTTTGGGGTACCTGGGTGGCTCAGTTGGTTGAGCATCCGACTTTGGCTAAGGTCATGATCTAATGGTTTGTGAGTTCAAGCTCCATGTGGGGCTCTGTGCTGACACCTTGGAACCCGGAGCATGCTTGGAATTCTGTCTCCCTCTCTCTCTACCACTCCCCCACTCACATTCAGTCTCTCTCTCTCTCAAACCACACATCAGAAATATTTTCAATTATTTAAATTGTTCTCTCAAACTCTCCTAATCTCCAATAGCAAAATTATGTATCTCTAATAAAACAGTATCCTATCTTCATAACTTTTATGTCCTATATATTTAATAACATGGCTCTTAGTTTTCAATAGCTACCTGAATACACCCTGGTGTACAGAAATTCTTGACGTGACAATCTATGATGTGGTGTCCTCAAAAGAAAATTTCAAAAGCAATAATGTAATACCATGGTTTTACTTACGAGAGGTTTTAGAAGCAAGAAGAGTAACTCGGGAACCTCCTAAGAAGCGAAAACCCATTACATTCGCCTGATCGTCATCGGACTGATTGGCAAAGCCTACAAAGAAAAGAAAAATATCACTTTACATAGCCACACAGAAAACACTTAATGTCTGAAATAGGAAGTTTAGCTGATGACAAGTATTTTTTATGTCACTAGTCATGTTTAAAGCCTGTGCATGAATTAGAACATATTAGCTGAATTCCATGGTAATTCCCAATTGCTAAAATTTCTGCCTCACAATAATACTCGGAAATCATTTCATTTCCTTCCTTCTACTGTTTCATTCAGGTTTGAGGCAGGAAATACATAAGAGGAACCTAGAAGACCTGTCACACCAGAAAGCAAGGAAACTATCAGTGAGGGGTAGAGTAGTATGAAAAGGGTGTAAAGCCAACTTAAGGAGATTTCTGGCCAGAGATGAAAATATTTGAGTATCAAAAAAGCAAAACACATCACAGTGACATACCACCTCACACCTGTCAGAATGCCTAAAAATAACAACTCTGACAACACTTGTTGGCGAGGATGCAGAGAAAGAGGAACTCTTTTGCACTGCTGGTGGAAATGCAAACTGGTGCAGCCTCTCTGGAAAATGGTACCGAGGTCCCTCAAAAAATTGAAAACAGAACTAACCTACGCCTCAGCAATTGCACTACTAGGCATTTATGCAAAGGATACCAAAGTGCTGATTCAAAGGGGCATATGCATCCCAGTTTTTATAGCAGCACTATTAATAATAGCCAATTTATGGAAAGAGCCCAAATGTCGATCTACTAATGGATAAAGATGGGGACTTTATCCCCATTAAAGATAATGGACTATTATTTGGTGATCAAAAAGAATGAAATCTTTCCATTTGCAACAACATGGATGGAACTAGAGTGTATTATGCTAAGTGGCATAAATCAGAGAAAGACAATTATATGATTGTACTCATATGTGGAATTTAAGGAAAAGAGAAGGTGAACACAAAGGAAGGGAAAGGAAATTAAGATAAAAACAAAGAGAGAGGCAAATCATAGAGACTCTTTTTTTAATAGTTTATTGTCAAGTTGGTTTCCATATAACACCCAGTGCTCATCCCCACAAATGTCCTCTTCCATGCCTATAACCCCCTTCCCCTCCCCTCCAACCCCATCAGTCCTCAGTTTGTTCTCATCATTCAAGAGTCTCTCATGGTTTGCCTCCCTCCCTCTCCGCAACTATTTTTTCCCTTCTTCTCCCCCATGGTTCTCCACTAAGTTCCTCCTAATCCACCTATACGTGCAAACATATGGTATCTGTCCTTCTCTGCCTGACGTACTTCACTCAGTATAACACCCACAAGTTCCATCCATATTGCTACAAATGGCCAGATTTCATAGTTTCTCATTGCCATGTCGTATTCTATTGTATAGATAAACCACATCTTGATCCATTCGTCAGTCGATGGACACTTAGGCTCTTTCCATGTTTTGGCTATTGTTGAGAGTGCTGCTATGAACATTGGGGTACATGTGACCCAATGCATCAGCACTCCTGTATCCCTTGAGTAAATTCCTAGCAGCGCTATTGCTGGGTCATAGGCGAGTTCTATTGTTAATTTTTTGAGGAACCTTCACACTGTTTTCCAGAGGGGCTACACCAGTTTACATTCCCACCAACAGTGTAGGAGGGTGCCCATTTCTCCACATCCTCACCAGCATCTACAGTCTCCTGATTTGTTCATTTTAGCCACCCTGACTGGCATGAGGTGGTATCTCACTGTGGTTATGATTTGTATTCCCTGATGATGAAGGACGCTGAGCATCATTTCATGTGTCTGTTGGCCATCTGGATGTCCTCTTTGGAGAAGTGTCTGTTCATATCTTCTGCCCATTTCCTCACTGGATTATTTGGTTTTTGGGTGTGCAGTCTGGTGAGTTCCTTATAGATTTTGGATACTAGCCCTTTATCTGATATGTCATTTGCAACTATCTTTTCCCATTCTGTCAGTTGTCTATTAGCTTTATGGATTATTTCCTTTGTTGTGCAGAAGCTTTTAATCTTGATGAGGTCCCATTTTTGCTCTTGATTCCCTTGCCTTTGGGGATATGTCAAGTAAGAAATTGTTGCAGTTGAGGTCAAGGAGGTTGTTTACTACTTTCTCCTCTAGGATTTTGGTGGTTTCCAGTCTCACATTCAGGTCCTTTATCCATTTTGAGTTTATTTTTGTATATGGTGTGAGAAAATGATCTAGTTTCATTCTTCTGCATGTTGCTGTCCAGTTCTCCCAACACCATCTGTTAAAGAGGCTGTCTTTTTTCCATTGGGTATTCTTTCCTGCTTTGTCAAAGATTAGTAGGCCATACATTTGTGGGTCTAATTCTGAGTTCTCTGTTCTATTCCATCCATCTATGTGTCTGTTTTTGTGCCAATACCATACTATCTTGATGATTACAGCTTTGTAGTAGAGGCTAAAGTCTGGGATTGTGATGCCTCCTGTTTTGGTTTTCTTCTTCAATATTGCTTTGGCTATTTGGGGTCTTTTGTGGTTCCATACAAATTTTAGGATAGTTTGTTCTAGTTTTGAGAAGTATGCTGGTGCAATTTTGCTTGGGATTGCATTGAATGTGTAGATTGCTTTGGGTAGTAATGACATTTAACAATATTTATTCTTCCGATCCATAAGCATGGAATGTTTTTCCATTTCTTTATCCCTTCTTCAATTTCCTTCATAAGTTTTCTATAGTTTTCATCATACAGAGCTCTTATGTCTTTGGTTAGGTTTATTCCTAGGTATTTTATGGTTTTTTGTGCAATTGTGAATGGGATCAGTTTTTTTATTTCTCTTTCTGTTGCTTCATTGTTGCTGTATAAAAATGCAACCAATTTCTGTATGTTGATTTTGTATCCTGCAACTTTACTGAATTCACAGATCAGTTCTAGTAGGCTTCTGGTGGAGTCTGTCGGGTTTTCTGCGTAGAGTATCACGTTGTCTGCAAAAAGTGAAAATTTGACTTCTTCTTTGCCAATTCAGATGCCTTTTATTTCCTTTTGCTTTCTAATTGCTGATGCTAGGACTTCCAGCACTATGTTAAACAACAGTGGTGAGAGTGGACATCCCTGTCGTGTTCCTGATCTCAGGGGGAAAGCTCTCAGTTTTTCCTTGTTGAGGATGATGTGAGCGGAGAGCTTCTCATAGATGGCTTTTATGATGTTTAAGTAAGTTCCTTTCTTCTGACCAGGCAGAGAGACTAAGAGGCTTAATTCAGAGAGAGAAAGAGGAGAATATGGTTAGAGGCGAGGAGAAAGAAATGAAGATAATATTACTCAGAGAAACTACATAGTCTTATTACTCCAGAGAGAGAGAGGTAAAAAGGTAGCAGTAGAGGTGTAGAATATGCTTCTAGAGAATGGATTAAATGTGACTGTTTAAGCAAACCAGTGACCAGTGTGCCCAATCCAACAGAGTGGAAGGTTATGAATGAGACAAGGGAAAATATATCTGAATACAAAGAATTGATCTAGAATTAATCACGGCAGTGCATCCATGTTTGTCTTGCCCCGATTCCGGTTAAAAAAAAAAAAAAGCAGCTCTCTAGTGAGGATGGGAGTGGCTGGTGTAGGCAAGTCTTAGCCTCCACTGCATCCAGTCCCACGGGTGGCTCCCTGAGGTCCTGCCTTGGTGGTTGTGGGGAGAAAAATGGCATGGCGGTGTCCCAGTCCCTTCTCGAACCAAGCATTGCAACTCAATATTTTGGGTCCGATCTCCCTGTGCCACAGGTGTAGCCAAGGTGGGCCGTGCTCTATATTCCAAGCCAGGCCTCGTTTTCAGATCTTGGTCCCCATGCCACATCGATATCACCTGAAATATAAACCCTCAGGCCGAGTCCCTCTGAGCAGTTTCAAGCCTCTCGCCTCCCCACTGGGATCCAGCCGAGACACTAGACACTCTTACTGAGGGTTGCTGCAGGAATACTGGGTGGGGTAATGGGCTAAATGAGCGATGGGTATTAAGGAGGACACTTGTTGGGATGAGCACTGGGTGTTGTATGTAAGTAATAGATTACTAAATTCTACTCCTGAAATCATTATTACTAATGATATAGTATGTTAACTAACTTGGATTTAAATAAAATTTTAAAAAATATTTAAAGGTATGTGTTCATACTGATATAAAAACAAACCAAAAAAAGGCTAAATGCTCACTAATGGAGGATCCTAGAGAACCAACTCCTTATTTTAAAAATCAGTAATAAAGACCAAGAACCAAACATTTATCCAGATGATCCTACTCAAATTATACCATATAACCAATAGCAGGTAAGGGGAAAGTTCTCATTATAGAAATAATCCAGCAAAATATTGAAGAAAGCTTGAAAGAAATAGATATCATTTTTCAACTTCAATTTAATGGATCAGTTTAATGGATCTTAGCACTGAAATCAATGTCTGTTACCATAGCAAAAAAAAAAAAAAAAAAAAAAGAAAAAGAAAAAGAAAGAAAGAGAAAGAGAGTCAAACAGATAATATGTACCCCCTGCTGAGAGTATATACCACCACTGATGGAAGCAGTAGGGCCAAAATAATCAATCCTGACTCTAATACCTCTAAATGTAACTACCAGTTTACAGGCAATATAGTAGACAGAGAAAATATTAAACATCACAGAGATGTCATCAGCAATTTCAGCGTGGGAAACTCATACGAAAAATAATCTGTTACTCTTCAACAAATCAACTGCAAATTAAAAAGACAAAGTGTGGGGCACCTGGGTGGCTGAGTCAGTTGAGTATCTGACTTCGGCTCAGGTCATGATCTCATGGTTCGTGGGTTCGAGCCCCGCGACAGGCTCTGTGTTGACAGCTAGCTCAGAGCCTGGAGCCTTCTTCAGATTCTGTGTCTCCCTCCTTCTCTGACCCTCCCCTGCTCACGCTGTCTCTATGTCTCTCTCAAAAATAAATAAACATTAAAAAATTTTTTTAAATAAAAAAAAAGGTTGATACCTATAGAAAAAAGAGATACCAAAAAATTCATATCAAAAACCACGATAAATAAACTACATTTAAATCCTGACTCAAAAACAAACAAAT